TAAATACATACATATTATAAATATAAACACCCACGACTGGAGTACAAACATTCGTACTCATCACACAAATGAATGCTCCCAGCAGGACTCGAACCCGCGACCGCTGGAACAGCAAGTAACACTACCAACTGAGCCAAACGTGTCGTCGAATCTTGAAGAAGTTTGAATCAAACCTACTTTGTTGGGGAAATATGTAAACTAACGTAACAGAAGTGTAACTAATATAAGTACATAATATTTATGTAGTTGATTTTCATGAAATTAACTTAATAAATTAAACTGGTAAAATAAGACAATTTTTTATTCGTAAATACTAAATACATAACACAAGTAATTTTTTTGTGTTATAGAACTATTTGTGCGGCGTTCTGATTCACACTTGACCGAACTTTTATTTATTTTTTTAATTCAAAGAAGAAAGTTTTGGACGTTTTTGCTAGTTATATAAATGTCGCCAAGCTGATTACTGTACTCATACTCACAATGGTCATTCATTTTCAGGAATGAAACATTACAAGAATGCCGTCTTTTCTTATACATATAATTAACAATTAATCAGTGGTTTTATAATCTTAACAAACTTTCCATTCTTACACATAAAATTTCTAAAAAAATTCACTACATAATAAATAATGTTTTCTTTACCGTTTACAAAATAAATAATATGTATCTGAATCGATGGTCTAGTACCATTTACGGCTGCAGATCCGGAGGTCCTGGGTTTGAGTCTTTACGTCAGGTTAAGTTTAGTTATTGAGTTTTTCTATTAAGTAATTTTCAGTAATAGCCCGAAGTTGGGAAGTTGACGGAGTTTCATCGCCGTGCCTCAGGGAACATGTACGTCGTTCCTGTTCTCTCACCGGCCGTGTCGAATTGTTTCTCTACGAGATAGGGAGTACTCTTGGTTGCTTGTGCAGTTATGTTATAATATATCCTGTACAGATGGTAAGTCACAGTGAGACTGACCGCCGTCGCCGAAATCGGTCATGAGACCATTCATATCGCGACGCCATTATAAGTACCAGGCGATCGTGCACTGCACTCTTATGAAGGGACTCTACGTTTATAATGGACATTTCTCGAGGTTTGTCCCCAATAGTACTCGTTCGTATCGACAGTTATTGTCACCAGATATAATGAGCTAAGGGCAGCCCATAATGTGACGTCATCATAAGTACCGGGCGATCATATTAGTAAGTGTTGAGGAATGTATTCTTTCTTCGATAAGCTTCAACATGTACTATACGTTGCTCGATGTTTATTTATGAGCCAAGGGCAGACAGCGAAAGGAACTTCGTTCCTATCAGGGTAACACGACACCTCTTGGTTTTTTATTTAAAAAAAGATTCATCATTCAAACTACATACATATTATAAGCAAATCATCATATTCGTGATACATATGTGTAAAATTATAATTAAATTTGATTAAAGTATATTAATATATATATATGTATATTTAGGATTATTTCCGCAATAAAAATAAAATTATTTTAAAGCAATAGTTCCTCTTGACTGGGTAAATTCCATGGCCTTTATTTAGCTTTAATATTATAAATAAGTTTCTGTCAAAGCATTTAAAATAGCTAGCATTCTTTATATTCACGAGAATTCCAAGTACGTAATATGTATAATATGAATGATATTTTATCTCCACTAGTTAGGAGCGGCGACTTTGTACGCATAACATTATGTCAAGTTAATTTATTAGTATATATACATATGTATGTACTTCTTCGTTCAAAACAATGACATGATTGCGGTTTAATTGATCTGTATGAATGTATGACGTATGGACGTCGCTTCTTTTGTGAGTAACATGATAGTTTCCAATGACTATTTAGCAAGGACAGGTTTAACTAGTTCTATTTTAAATCTATACATATAGTAAAATTGTAACTGAGCCGAATCTGTACATTAAATATTTTTTGGAAAATCTTATTGAAATAGGTATCAATCGAAAATTATTATCGATACAGAGTTTTCCCCGCAATTCCCCGAATTTCCCCGCGGTAAAAAGTATCCTATATGTTGACCCGAATAACCAGCTATTACGATACCAAATTTTATCAAAATCCCTTAAGTGGTTTTTCCGCGATGCGGTAACAGACAGACAGACAGACAAAAATTCTAAAAACTATAGATTCGGCCTTTGTATCGATAATAATGTCTATTTCGATAAGATTTTCCAAAAAATATTTAATATACAGATTTGACTTAGTTACAGTTTTATTATAAGTATAGATATAGATATCTCGCTCTACCTTCCAAAACATTGCTCGCTCGAGCGAGATATGTTTTGATTCCCTTTGATCGACATCTTCATATCAAAGCGACTTTGTTTTAGTGTAATTTAATCAACTTTTTTAGTGTAAGTTAATAATTATTAACGAGTTTTTCAACAATCAACATTTTCGCTCTACCCAGACCGCCGCAGCTTTAGGGATGCAACTTATTTTTTTTACTTGTTTCTTACAGAATCTTTGAAAAGTACTATAAAAATTTTCGTTTAAAAACTAACATGCAAACTTATTTTTGCTGTCGATCAAATGAATATTGTGGATATTTTACGCATCACAGATAAATTATTTATGAGATAATTATAAAAAAAATCCGAATATTTATAAAAAAAAGCCTTATTTAAACATAAGAAAATAATTGAAAATTTAAGTGGAATTGTTGTGATATGTCCTACATTTTTTTTAGTATTAATCTCTTCTAATAAAAACATTATCAGGATTTTCCTATGCTTTAGATAATAACAACCATTATTAAATCAATTAAAATGTAGCTCCGGGGTTAATTGTCGTATATCCATACTAATATTATAAATGTGAAAGTATGTTTGTTTGTTTGTCTTTATTTCACATCGAAACGGAGTGACGGATTGACGTGTTTTTTTGTGTGGATAGTCGGAGGGCTGGAGAGTGACATAGGGTACTTTTTACCGCAGGAGATTATCTTATTTCCACGGGAAAATACAACCCAAACAAAAATTATGATCGTATGAAGAATTACTTGAAACTTGGTGTTAATGGTCTTCAATACAATTAAAAAAATACGTGTTTTAGCATTTTTCGAAATTCATCTCATAAGGGGATAAAATAGGGGATGAAATTTTGTATGAAACCTACCTTTTTTTTATTGTAACATTTTTGCGCGAGCGAAGCCGCGGGTTCTGCTAGTAATTTATAAATGTTTCATAAAATATTTGTTTTGCATACAAATTTTATGCATTCAAATGATGTTTATCTACGAAGAAATATAGTTGTCTAATAAAAGGGAGTTAGTATGCATCATTAATATGAGGCAAATGTACATTATTCATATCAGAAATAATAAATCGTTTCTATCTATTTAATTTGTTATGCATCCTTAGTTACCTATTTGATATGTGTTGGATGTATAGAAACCTAAATATCATGATTATAGGATTCACTTTCTTAATATTATTAAAATATGTATTATATGCCTTTGGCTTTAAGCCAATCCAATTTCTGTACCAAATATTCCTATAAATAATAACGAATGTGTCCCGTATGTTTGTAATCGATGTTTGTTCTAGAATTGAAATCGTTTTAGGACTGAAATTTATGTTTGTTACGACTTACGAGTAAGATGTATCTACTAATACACGCTTATACAATTGATTGCATAGAAAATTTAAATGTAGCTAAAATAAATATTATAAATAAAACTATATTTTCGGATTATTTCGCGGATTTATTTTGATTTTTGGCTCCCGACGTTTCGAATGCTTTACAGCAATTATGGTCACGGGAGAGACTGAGGTGTTAGATGTCTCGAAGGTATAGTTGTTACAGACAGCCTACACACAATTAACAAAATGAAAATTTATGAAAGACAATAATAAATAATAGCAAACTGAATTAAAATTATTATTCTTAATTAATTTTAACTTTTTAAATTACACATAGAACAATTATGTGGCTTAAATAATTAATATTATATTTTATATTTTTTCTTTATGGTTATAAATATAATAATAGCAACACTAAATATAGATTCCTAATTAATATTTTTAAAATTGTAATAATTATAATGATAACAGCAAAAATTAAATAAATAATATTCCATATTCAATTATAAAACTAATTAAAATTATAAAAATGTTTAAAGTTATAAAATATTATAAGGTACTCGTTGCAATTTTTTTTCATTTTGTTAATAATTGTGGGTAGGCTGTCTGTAACAACCATACCTTCGAGACATCTAACACCTCAGTCTCTCTCGTGACCATGATTGCTGTAAAGCATTCGAAACGTCGGGAACCAAAAATCAAAATAAATCCGCGAAATAATCCGAAAAGATAGTTTTATTTAAAATGTCAAATATTCGCGTAAATCTAAGAAAGTATTAATTTAAATATAACATAGTTTAAGTAAAATGAACTTCCAAAGTATCAATTACAAAATTTCAATTTATCTGTTTACTACACACATATATGGCTGTTTATATTTTTTCCAAGAGTCAAATTAGGTTTTTATGTTTTTTAATGTTTTTTCGGATTTTTCTACGGTTCATTTTCATGTTTTATTTCCTAAATTTCGAATACTTTACAGCAATCCTGAGCACGGGAGTGATTGACGTATTTCATTCTACTTAAATAGTTGTTCGAATCGATAAGAATGTAAAAAGTACAAAATGTTAAGTATATTACGTAGTGCAGTATGCGGTCGTGTTGCGTGGTGGCGGGGCGGGCGGCTGGCGGCGCTGCAGTTTTCCCCGCCCGCGCCGTGGGCCGGCTAACGCCGCGTTTTCCGCGAGCCCGCGCCCCCTCGCCCGCATGAGCTGGGAAATCGCTCCTCGCTCGCCTCAGTCCGGCTCGGCCGTCGCTCAGTATTGACGCGTACGAGACACGCGCGATCGTGTACCTCCGCTCGAAACGCTGCATCAGACGAAAGACTACGCGGCGAAAATAGTGAGCTCTAACTGGGATAGGACAGAGATCAGGAAGATAAGGAGGTGTGGGCAGTGAGCATGCTGCCTGCGCTCCTGCTGCTGGTGGCGCTGGTGCCGGCCGGCCCTGCCGCCGCGCGCCGTCACGCGCCAGACCTGCGCGAGGACGAGCCCGCGCGCCGCACTACCCGTCCTGCTGGTGAGTCCTTACTCTTTACTCCTTACCCCATTATCAACTGTCACACGTAACGCTAGCGATTAAGCTCAAAGTACAATTAATCTCTACAAAAGCCCTTGGTCACAACGCTCTTCTCGTCTAAATTTTGCTCGACATATATGAGTGGATCGAGTATAAAATAACTACGCTGCGTACGAGGATTAGAATGTTTATGTAAATAATTACATTCCGCATTTGCTGACCTGCTAAAGGAGTAGGGCAACGCGATTAATTAATCTGTACAGAACTAGTACTTAACGCCGTACCTACGACTGCAGTGTGTGGGGAAGTCGTTTCGTCATGCTCTGGGACGGCTTATTGATATGTTTCTGACGTATCGTTATCGATTCGGTATCATCGACGTTACGGTGGGATAATAAAAACAATACCACGTGAGAGCGACGATCAGCTTTCTTCCCGATACGCTGAACAGAGAAATGTCAAGCGATCTATTTTTGATGCACGATACAAGTTATCTTTATTATCGGCCAAAGACTTCGAGCCGTAGTTACATAGTTTGGTATTTGATGTTACATTGAAGATTTAATGCTTTTTTTTAATGTTTTTAATACACAATGGTATGTAAGGATGGTGTTTTTCCTTTATATATATTGTAAGTTAGATTTAACATTTGAATGTACTAATGCTATTGCGATATTTGCTTCGAATATAGAACTCAATAGTTAATTAAAAATATAAATTAAAAATATAAATTGCAGTTACAATGAGTTTTATATATAATGATATGTTGGAAATATGAAATTTTATTAGTTCGAAATCAAGTGGTAATCGATTTATGTTATTAGAAGGATATTGATATTGTTTTGTCATAACGCTAAGAAAGCGTATCTTTAATGTAAATTGTGATAGTATAATTATGAATACATGTGTAAATATAATAATCTGATACGATATGACATAAATAAAGATAATATAAAGCGAAACCAAAGTATATACTATCATAATACAGATAAAACGTTCATTGGACAACTTTGCAAATGTCTAGCTCTCATAGAAAATTGATATGATTTTATGACTTCGCTTAGAAATCTTTATTATACCTAATATATACTTATTTTCTTTACTAAAGGGTATCTTGAAACTGTTATTTAATCACAAAATTACATAGCTCTTTCTTATATGGCGTAAAAAGAAGACAAAAATCCCACTTTTATAGTATTACTAATACTATATATTTAGTAGTACAAATAGATACACATGTTCAATGATTTAGCATAAAATTTGCATATTTTTAAATCTATGTAGATTAAAGATAAAAGGAGTCTTTAGATTCAACAGAAAAACAAAATACTTAATGCTATTGAGCTTGATCATCATGAGCAATTGAATAAAAAATTGTGCTTTTATACAAAAACATTTCAAATGTGTACTATGACTATATACTTGTACAGTATCTCTCGATTATTGATTTAGAGAAAAAATCTTTTCGCAAAACTTTTTTAAATAGTTGCCGTAAAAATAGTTTGTAAGATTTAGAGAAAAGAGTATCAGATTTATCAGATGGTATATGGTGATAATCCACTTTTGTTGATTTCTAAGGAAATGAAACGCGAAAAATTGTTTTATTAAAATAACAAATATGACAAATATATTCTTATTTTTACTTACCAGCGTCTAGAGCTACAGATTAAGAAATCGTCTCACATTACATACCGTCTCAAGTAATACCACCGTTTGCATCCGGCCTTAGATCCAATTGTCAAGTGAAAGTCCTAATACATATGGTTTAGTATAAGTGCATCCTGTTATAATATTTGGCCTTTAATATGAAAAAACAAATATATGAGAAAATTTGAGAATGTGCTAAAATATCGTAATAATTATAATATTTTATATGTTTATTTCTTTAAGTGCAAGAAAACGAATCAAAACAATTAACTTCAGACACATTTTGAACTCATCACCTTATTGTTTCAAAAGAAAATGCTCGCCTATTAGTAAAGATGCACTGAATATATTTTAATTCAAAACAATAAAATAATGCGTCCTTTTCATTTTATTTCGTAAACACTCGATCGTCGTTCGACATTTACAATCTTATCGGCGTATTACGACTGAATGATTGTTGAAACGTAATTTTGCAAAAGATTGGGAACTACGTCGGTTTGCGTTTCGTAACAATAATTATAATCGTTTAGATAATATACTTACTATCAAATATTATCTTGATTTTTAATTTTTTAGTTATAATTGGTTATCTAATTGGTCTGTAGTTGAATTTATCATATATTTGCTATTACAATTTTTTTTTAATGTTATATTATAATGTTTTCGGTAATAAAATTTATAATGTTGAATTTAATGTTACAATCAGAAGCTTTTTGTATTTCCTCATTTTTTATTTAGTTTTAGTTGTACATGTTCAGGTATGTGATATTAGTGAAGCTATTATAAATTATAAACATATGTAGTATTACGTACCTACACGGTACAACTTCTTGATTAGTGGAATAAATTAAACAAAGGAAGGTTGTTTAAAGGTGAAACTTTGCTTAAATTCAAATTTTAAGAATAGTTAGTCTAATATCTAGGAGTATTATTCAAAATCATTCGGTTTAAAGACAACAACGACATATGTAAAGAATTGCACGCTCGCTTTCTCCCGGTAGCGTTTTTTAATTGGACACCGAGGAGTTTTAATGAAAGAAAAATAATAAAAAATATTAAAATATGCGGTTTATTAATTTTGCCAAAAAGTATAGGTACAAAATTAAAAAAAAATAGCTCGAAAGAATATTATTTTCCATATAAACTTTGCTATTCCTTTTTTCCTTTAGGTGTTGAATTTTAAAATATGCCCTTTTTATCAGTTACCTACACAATAATATGTATGTCGTTATAGATTTGGCTCAACAGTCCTCCACAAGTTGTGTATTACTTTAAAACGAACACTTAGGTTTTGTAATTATGATATTTTTTTATGTATCGAGTGAAGGAAATTAGTGTTACAAAAAGAATGGACTATTTTTTTTTTCCTTTTTGGTATCCATTTTGAATTAAGAATTATTAAAAACTTAGATCGGATGCCAGTATAATTTTTATAAATCTGTTTGAAATAAAATCGTATATTACTCGTAGATATTATATGTCAATATGAATTCTAATCTTACAACCTTTATGAATATTATAAAAATATTATGATAATAATAACTACATTTATAATCAAAACAAATCTATTATATTTTTTCGGGATAAAAGGTAAACTATGTGCTATTCCAGGTTATAGTCTATCTCTGTGTCTAATCCAGATCCGATCAGCCGTTCTGCGTGAAAGAGTAATAAACTTTTATCCGTCTATCCTCACAAACTTTCACATTTATAATATTAGTATGGATTGTACTGTAATCCAGTATTAATTTTCCTTGATATAAAGGTTTTCATTTTACTTTTTATAAAATTTACATTTTCCTTATTTCCGAATATCTTGATTATGGTTGTAAAATACATTATATATACCATACCCCATTTGCGGTTAAAAGCCATTGTCTTGGACAACCAAGTATATATAATATAATGAAAAAACTTATGTTCACTTATTATTCCTATCGACATAATGTCACCAAATTGATTATGAATAAAATAAATGTTAATGGTACTTAAAAATAAGTAAAAATAATAATTTCGATATTTTCCTGTTGGTCATAAAGACGATGACGATGTTGGTAACAAGTATAAAAGTAGTTAAAAATTACTTAAAGCTTCTTTACTATCATTAATATTTACCTTGAGTATACTTTCTCGTCTTCTGGTTTATAAAATTACAAAATATTTTATACATTTAGCCTTGTCTGAACGCCAGGACGATGTCACGCACATAACATAATAATTATAATAGACACCAAGGACATACAGCGAGATTTTAGCTACAAGTGACTCACTTTCTTGACAACTTTCATTCATTTTTCGTATAAAGTCAATTATGTTTGCCAAAATATCTTTAAAAACGTGCCAAAAATTGTATTACTGAGAAGAGAAAAAAGTTGTCGTCGTCTAGACGACCCAACGAGACGCGACGTGATAGGGATACCTGTATGAATTATAAATGATGTTCTTACATGTTTATGACTTTAGTAAATATCTGTTTTAGGTGTAATTTTATTTAATTTCTATATTTATGTTTAAATTAAAATTTAACTTACTTCATTTAAACGTTAGAAAAGTTTCCATATGATTATTGTAATTCTGTTCGTATCTAGCCATCGCTATTCATCTAATTGCTTACAGGCGTTTGTGGGTGACATTGATGGTTTAAAATTAAAGATCAATTGCCACCCACTAGATTTGTCTCGCTAAACTAATAATCGATAAATAAATATTGCTTCATGTGGGGGCGATCTTGTAGACCCGACTCATGAAGGGTAAATGCACAAAATCGTGAGGATCTAACTATAATTCTTTATTAATTATGTATATATACTAAGATTTCGTCGAGAAAATTATGGAAAATCCCCACAGAAGACTTTTATAGCCGTAGTAAAATTATGATCAGTAAAAAAGTTTGATGAGGCTGGAAAATTTATGTTTACATACGTATAGTGTATACTTTGATGAACTTTAGACCTTACTAATTGTAGATAGGTTTTACATAAAAAGAAGTATGATAACTGTATAATTAATAACTATAATTAGACATTGTTCATGTATTATTTTTGGCACAATGATTGGACTTTATCAAATGATCTTCGTAACCTGCGCGCGTGGCGTATCAAATGCAAGTTGCTTTTAAAACTAACTTTAGTGATAAAACTTGTGTATTAAAAATTAATATCTGACGTAATTTTAACCTTAATTTTTACACAGCATCAGTTATTATTTTATTTCTTAAATAAACGCTAAACATAATGTTTATATCGTATAACTTTAGTAAGATATATTGTACCTAGAAATGATATCTTTGTTTCTTATCGGAAACCGCATGGAATCGTATCTGGCAACTCTAGAACAGATTTCAGTTACGCTAA